AAACCACCCGCCGTGGCAAACCATGGAAATACAGAAGGGAAATTTGACAGGAGGAGCCGTGGGGAGGAACTCAAGGAAAGTTGGCTTAAACATTTAGCCATACACTGCCTGTTACCACGCGTGCCTAATAATAAACTTCTTGCTGACCTGCTGTGCTCACAAAAAATTCCGAATTGGATCAATTATTTTAGATTTATAATTATAAGCTTATGTTTGGAAATCCTTAATCAGTTATGTTGAAAAAACTAAGCACTGAACAGTTTATGTTTAAAGGTAACAACCCCGTTTCTGGAAAGGGAAAGCTGGGGCAAAGGCATACTCTGAATGATTGCATTAGGCACTCCTTCGGGGGAATCATTTAGGCTTTTTGAGTCTCTGACAGGCAGTTTCCTTGAAACACTTCCTTCGTCATCAGGAGGTCTTCAGAGTCAGGCTGAAGAATGGGACCACCTTGGGGTCTGCAAGAAAGAAGAAAATCTATCAGGGAGAACCTACAGGGATATTTTTAAAGAAAAGTATTTGGGGAGGGAAGGCCTTTCATACAACTGATGTTTACTGAGGTTCAACTGCATTCCAGGCATTGAAAGTACAGAATCCTTGTCCTACCACAGAGATTCACAGACCAGTGAGGGAGACTCACAAGTTAAAATGAAATTATAACCCAAGCTGAAGAATGCAAAGGCAGAGAGGCTTGTGGAGGAGCCATGGGAGCTCCGAGATAGTCTCAAACCCTGCAAGACACAGGCACCCACAGGCTACAGTCACGCCTCCAGGTGTTCCAGCTTCAGGGAGTCAGGAACCACCTTGAGGGTTTTTTTATATTGTGACTTTCAAAAGCAGAAAACCCCAAAATTATCGCCCTGCAATTTCATTTAGTTCACATAACACTTATAATCTACTAATGTTTGAGGAAATGAATAGAAAATGAAGCCATTTGATTTGATTTTTGCTTTTTTAACATGAATACAAAATACTCATTTCCTTGAGCACTTGAGACACTTTAATGCTCTGTATTAAAGGTTACAAATATTCCAAGGATCTTAATATGTACAGTTTCCATTTACTAAATAAACATGATCTCAAAATATTGCTTGCAGTTTGAAATTCTTAAAGGCTGAACCACTGGGCATAAAAGCAGTGTGGGAGGGCAGGTACTGAAGGAGAAGGCCCTCTCTTCGTAGCTGTGCCCTGCGCTTTACCACACTGCCCACCCCCCGGAGGGCGCTTGGCTCTTCTTCTAAAATACGGTTCTTCCTAAGGGTGTTAAGCTGCCTGTCTATCTACCTCTTATCTCATGGTATCAAATAAGTTGTGACTGTATTCCTCTTAACAGCTGTCTAGTAACATCCAAAACAATGAACGTGACTACATGTTGCACCTGCTCCAGTGTCTTGTTCAATAGAAGGGCTCCAATTTTTTATGTGAACGAATTATTGAGTGGGTGGCTAGAGGATGGACTTGAAGTTTTTGATAAAGGAAACTATGAAGCAGGTATTAGAGATGACTGACTCTGAGGGGAAAACTGGGAATCCAGAGGGCAGCATGGGGGCAGTAAGTAGCTAGAAGAAATATGGGGAAAAACAGCAAAGCATCCAGTAAAGAAGAAGAGAAGGCAAGTGGGGAGTAAACAGCAAAATAAAGACCACAGTGTATAATAAACCCCCTGTACTCACCTTCAGCCCCAACAGTCATCAACATTTCACTGACGTTGCCTCAGCTACCACCTACCACCCCCATTTTTTCCCTAGAGTGTTTTGAAGCAAACCCCAGATATCACATCTATTATTTTGCCCATAACTACCTATGGATAAATCTCTACCAAATATATTTTTTAAACAAACAAAAAAACCCAAAGTTGTTTTATATCCTGAAGGTGCTTAGAGAATGCAATCTCTATGTAATTTAAAGATTATTTTATGTAATCTAGACAAAGGGGATAGTGTGCGCACAAATGTTCATCACAGCTTTACCTGTAGCTCCCACACTGAAAGGAGCTAAACTAAATCAGCAGAGGAATGGGATCATAAATTGTGGAACAGCCACTTGATGTAATATTGCGCATTCATTAAAATTCATAGTTAAGAGGAAGACAGAGCCGCGTGGGAGCTGTTGCCTACCCACCCACACTCACTGCTGGGGAGGGGGAGGGCTGTTCCTACATTTGACCTTGCTGTCAGCAGGGCTAGAATCCGAGCATGTGCTCCACCTCCCCAGCCACACCCAGTTAGACAAGGTGTGTCCACCTAAGCCAGTGACAGCTAATCCATGGGCTGAACAGAAACCTCTAATTTTTGTGGTCTAATTGAATGGAAAAGATAAATTAGGCCAACCAAATCAGGATTTAACTTTAAGAGATCTAGAGACAGATGACTGAAAACTGTGGAACTGTAAAGTCATGTAGTTTGGGGTGGCCATTATTGGCAATGCACACCTGAAGTTACGAGGGTACAGAACAGAAATGCAAAGATAAGTAGGGACCCCACTGAAGGCTCCTGACAGAGCAGTGTAAGAAGCTGATTACTTCTGGGTCCCAGCTTCAATTCCTGCGGAGCTTCGCTGCTTAGTTTCCTGTCCTTGGATTTCTGTGAGATCAGGCACACACACACACACACACACACACACGCACACACACACATCTTTTTTCAGAGGTAATTTAACTTGACTAAGTGAATGTTCCTTGCAACTAAAATAGCCCTAAGACAAAAGTGTTAACAATATAATGTTGAGTTAAAAAAAGAATGCAGGATTTTAACTATGTTGTATTTAAAGTTTCATGAAATGATGGCATAAAATCAAGGACTAAAAGTGAACAGAAAAAAAGGAAAGTAATTTATGTGTTAGATCCTAAAACTTTCTTCTAGTTCAACCTGATTTCTCTGACAAGTCTAATGTCAAGCCCCCCCANACACACGCATACACATCTTTTTTCAGAGGTAATTTAACTTGACTAAGTGAATGTTCCTTGCAACTAAAATAGCCCTAAGACAAAAGTGTTAACAATATAATGTTGAGTTAAAAAAAGAATGCAGGATTTTAACTATGTTGTATTTAAAGTTTCATGAAATGATGGCATAAAATCAAGGACTAAAAGTGAACAGAAAAAAAGGAAAGTAATTTATGTGTTAGATCCTAAAACTTTCTTCTAGTTCAACCTGATTTCTCTGACAAGTCTAATGTCAAGCCCCCCCAAAATAGCCCTTATCTTCCAACAATTATTTCAAACTTTTAGACCTTTCTGGACTATTCTCCTATCCCACCACTTTCCTAATACATTTGAGATGATGGCTTGATTTATGAATATAGGACATGTCATTAAAGCAATCTTTACTACCAACAAAGCCCTCTGTACACTTCTAGGAGATATTAAGGGAGATATCAAGTAATTTAGAGAGTTTTTATTTTCACAGTTGTCCAAACGTTGTATTATTTTATAAAAGATTTGAAAAAAAAAGACCACTCACCTTGATAATTATGAAAAACAATTAAAAAATTTTTTTAAATTTGTTAAATACAGTCAACTTCAATGCTAAAATAAGTATTTTGACTAAGTACCAAATATGAAATTAAAATAGACTCATCTAATGTTATCCAGCAGAATAAGGTAACCTGGGCTGTTGGTAATGCTGAGGGGAACTGTGTTGGAAAGCCCATTGGGACGGGGGCTAGCACCTTTCCAGCCAGCGAGAGTTAGCCCCTTACTGCAGCAGACCTCTTCGCCTCTCCTGTCCCCTCACCTGTGTGTTGTCATTGANAAAAGAAGGCAAAGACTGCAAAAAATTTCCCCAACAATCAGATTTGCTTTCATGCCTCAACTGAGAACCATTGCTTAATCAAAAAGAACTAACTACTTACCATTCCCTGTGTCTCCCATCTTTACACCTTTGGTACATATCATTCCTCTTATTGAAATCTCCAGCTGTCAAAATCCAACCCACCAAGTGTACTTCAGTACTTTTGCAGAGCAATTTGACAAAATCTGGCAGAGATGAAGATGACACACCTTTGATCTAGTACGTCTATTCTCTGGTAAATATCCAGAAACACTCTTGCATATGAGCACAAGGAGATATGTGCAAGAAATGTTCATTGCATCTCTGTCTGAAACACCAAAAAACTAGAAACAACCTAAATCTCCATCAACAGAAGAATTGATTTTTAAATTGTGGTATACACACACACATACACACACACNAAAGAGCCAAACTAGATGAGGTATCTCTAAGGAGTCTTCCACATCAAACATATAGTTCTACAGTTCTGTATGTGATTAATAAAGTACAGTTTTGGCTAAGAAGGAGGGAGTACCTGTACCTTTATAGGAAAAATAAGCCCTAAACTTAAAAAACCAACTCTTTTCATTGTTTTGTTCCTTCTTCTAATCCTTATCAAGGTACACTCACACTCTCACACACACACACACACACACTCTCACACACACATACACACACTCACACATACACACACACACACATACACACTCACACACATGCACACTCATACACACATACACACTCACACACACACACATACT